CCCACGGCCAGAAAACTCAGGTGACTTGCAGTTTCCTAATTTACCTTCCTATGCAACCTATCTGTCAATCCTAGCCCTTCTCAGACATTCTGATTAGGGCTTTAAGTCAAGAGATGTGGGACGGGCAAAGGGAGGAGCATACTAGCTCTGCCCTCAATGCTATTCCAGCCTCTCTCGTAAGGTTAGAAAGTGAACTTCAGGTGTGGGGAGCCTCGTGGAAAATGGGTCTGTGGGAGCCAGCAGAAGCACAGGTGCTCAGTAATTCAAATGCTCACCTGTCACCAAATGGAGGAAGCCAGGAATGATACCAGAGGGCAGATACTGGGGTGCCCTGTGCCCCTTCATGTTTAGTTAAGCCCTGTAGCCCAAAGACCTTGAGATGATGCTGGACTCCAGCTTCCCTGAGCTCCAGGGAGCATGGCCAATGGTCAGGGATGATGGGAGTTGGAGTCCATCTCGAGGGTCATAGGTCTCCACCCCTGAGTTAGCATGCTTCAACTACATCTCTGGAGGAGACATACATGGGAAACAACAACCCTCTCATCCATATATTTACTTTGCCGCTGTCAGATTGACCTCCACTAGCGCTGCCAACACCACGCTGCTTTATCTCCTCTTAACATAGTGTGCTTATGTATGCAAGACCTGTGGCGGTGTAAGGCGATGGGGAGGAATAACTTCTCTTACAGAAGCTTAAGGTGGCTAAATCTTTGAAGTGCGCTGGTAAGCTAGTCTAGTCTTTTGCAGGCTCTGAGATATCAGCTCTTTAATATTCACTCCTATTTGAAAGCTACACAATTGATCTTGGAGAGATCTAAGCAAATGAGGGATTTACTAGTAGGATGGTTTTGATACACATCTTTTTTAACGAGGCTTGTAGCCAAGTGAATTCAATTGCAGTTGTATGGGGTGGGGTGGCGGGAAAGAGGCTGTCTAAACTGGAGAGCAACAGATCTGACTACCATAGCCCAAAGCGGCTTTGGAACCAGTTTGTGGAAGAGGCGATGATGATAATCATGATTGGACTGCTTTAGGGCCCAGGAGAGAAGGATAAAATCACAGGGGAAGAACACCTTCCATTTATGTTATTGGATGTTTATCCCTCCTTTTCCCCAAGGAGCTCAGGGCAGCATAGGCACTTGCCCCCACAGGACATGGGTTAAGATGATGACCAATGACACAAGGTCACCCTGTAAGCTTAATGGCAACATGGGGTCTCCCAAAGCCTAACCCAACATGTATTGAGTGTGAGTGGGCCTCACAGACAATATAAATCAGTCAGGGACTCTGAGGTCAACAAATCAATTCTCCGCCATGGGACTATATCCATGATGCATCGATTCCAAGGAGATGCATGGAAGTAAGAAAATGGGGAGTTGGATTTTTTACTGCCTGGAGATGATCCATACAATATCCTCATCCATTTTCAATTCCAGTGTCTTCCCCCCTCCCCAGGGGAATAGCTGGCTGCCAAATTGGCCACTCTTTTTTTGTTCAAGCAGAACTTTTATTTTGGACCTCTTCATTTATTACTTTTATTGCAACCATTTGTATGCCATTTAATCACCTCTGTCTCTAAGTAGCGCACAAGAGACCCAACACAATAAGACAAAAGTGATTTAAAACAATACAATCAGAACTCAATTCTAAAGTGTGCTGGGATTTCTTTTATTTTTATTGTATTGTTGTTTATTTATTTTATTAAAAAAAAAAACAGTGTTCAGAAATTGGTAGAAGTTCAGCTGAGAGGGAGCCTGCCTGACCCCACTGGAAGTGAGTTCCACAAAAATTTGGACCCGCAATCCCGAATGCATGACTCCTGCTTGCTATTATGAAGTGTGAATTCAAGTCATGGAGGGCAACTAACGCTGATTCCCCCAAAGACATCAGAGATGGATCCAGGATATAAGGGATCAGACAGTCCCTGAGGTATCCTGGACCTTGCAAATTAATACAGGAACCTTGAACCTGGCCTAGTAGCGTACGGGTAGCCAGTGCAAGCTTTTGAGCAGGAGAGTTATGGGCTGGTGCTGTCCTGTCCCCATTAACAGTCTAGCCACAGCACCCTGCACCAGCTACACGCTCCAGCCCAGCCCTGCACAGAGCACATTGCAACAATCAAGACTTGAGGTTACCAATGCATGAACGATCGTGGCCGATGCATGAATCATCACGGGGCAGCTTTACGCAGAACATTCCTGCGCTGGTCCTTTGTCAGGGTTCCTTCTTAGCTGCTGCTACAGCGAATAAATAAAAATCCCAAGCACATCATTAATTATCTTTTTATTAGTCTCTTCATTATGATCAGGCGATGGCCTGTAGCCATTAAGTAACTCAGCGTGCTCCCATCCTCTGCTGCTATCAGATCACGTTTGCCGTCCTCCCGTCATCAATTAGGGCAGGCTACATGGTGAATTATGCCCCTCTCTCTAGCTCTATACACATTAGCCAATTGGTTCCTCCCCTTTCTCAATGAGCATATTTTACACTCTTTGTGCGAGAGAATGTGCCCCGGAGCCCTTTTAATATAGCAGCGAGTCACAGTCTCGCAGATCTACAGAGCAGCCGCCAACCTCAAAGTCAAACACGCCAATGAAAGGGAAAAGGATGTTGCAGGCTTAACTCGGTGTTTAGAAATTTAGCACAGGCACCGATGCGCAATTTCTCTGCTACGCCCTCCTAAAATTTGCTGCATTTTTAAAGACTGCTCTATTCATCCTTGCATCTGCCGCTTCAATTTTTTTTTTGTTAGGGTGAACTCTAACAATGATATTATTATTATTATTATTATTATTATTGTTATTATTATTATTATTTAGTATTAGCATGTTTAGCCTGCTCTTCATTTGGAAAAGGCTCCCAGAACATTCCTGAACTACTGATCAATGAGCAATCGTGAATGATAATGATATTCAGTTGTGTGAATGTAATTACAGACAGGCCAGTGGGTAGTCCATGTTTTACAAAGAAATAAAAAATTCCCTACCTTGCCATTCCAATTTTGTGGCAGGAAAAGCTGGATTATACAGTGGTTTTTTTTGGGGGGGGGGGGGTTGCATAGTGAATTCTGCAATTTTATAAATCCATTTTGCATAATCTGTGTGCATCCATGCACACAAGGGCCTCTGTAGAGATTTGGAGAGGAGGAGGAACCTGCTGGTTCTGCTCCCAAACCCCATACTTTTAGCTAAATAGACTCTACATGCATAGCTGAAGGTTTCAGGAACTGTGGCATCCATGTGTTTGTTTGCAGCAGGCAAAGTACAGTGGTACCTCTGGTTGCGAACAGGATTCATTCCGGAGGCCCGTTTGCAACATGAAAAGAGCGCAACCCGCAGCAGCGTGTCTGCGCACACATGGGTTGTGCGTGCGCAGACACACTCATGCATGCGCTTCTACGCATACATGAGTGGCAAAACCCAGAAGTAACCCTTTCCGGTACTTCCAGGTCACCGCGGGACATAACCTGAAAGAACGTAACATGAAGCAAACATAACGAGGTATGACTGTATATGCAATTGATGGCAACTTCCCCCTGCATTTGCATTGTGTTTCCCTTGCGTTGAAATGAATGGCTTTTGCACCAAAATGATCACTGCAGAATAACATAAAAGTAAAAAACCGCAACACTAGTGGCTGATGAATTGCCTAGAGATGGCAGAAATGGGCCAATAGACTTATTTGGTTCATCAGAGGAGGATAAAAAATAAATTACAGAATGGACTAGTGAAGAGTTTGGTTATATTATTATGGATGTTTCCCCTGTCCACACATTTATTGGGTAATTTCATTTTTCCTGCTCATGCAGGCAGAGCAACCCTGACATTAGTTCACAGTTATGTATAGAAATGTAACACTCCCATGCCCAAACACGCCATCTCTTGCAATGTGGACACACAGAAGCCTAATGGACATTTCTCATTAAATCTCGATCCCCAAATAAAAATGAGAAGATTTTGCAAAGGGTTAATAAGAGTCTATTGGGAAGGAAATATTGATCCTTACGGATAATCACCATCACTCTTAAAAGCTAGAGATGACTTTGGGAATGTTCCAGCAAAAGGAAAATGAAGAGCTACAGTATCCCTTGATGAAAGAATGCCCATTTGGGGATTCTATTGGAAACTTGAAAATTTGGAGCTTTTGCAGATGAGCCCAATCGTTATTATGTCAATGGAGCGTTATGGATTCTCTGCCAGGAGCATAGTGGGTAATTTGATGTAGTGGTGTCTCCCAACTTGGGCAGCTTTAAAAGAGAATCAGACCAATTCAAGATTATCAGTTGTTACCAGTCAGGCCTGGATCCTACCCCCTGTGTTGGATTCAGTGTTCCTCTGAATAGCAGAGGCTGGGAATCATAAACAGGAAAGTGTTAATGCATGGGCTTCCAATGGGCATCTAGTTGGCCACTTTGAGACCTGGACTAGATGGGTCATTAGCCTGATCCAGCAGGATCTTCTTTTCTTAACTGTACATAGCCTAGGCATGGCCATGGGGAGGGTGTATGCGTGTCTCTAACAATCAGACTTTCGAACACCCCTTTAAGAATGCAACAAAGCATATGCGGGGCCAGACAAATTGTCTGGAAAAAGAAGGCATCAATACAGAAACAAAGTAGGTTTATATTCTGAGTGGAAATCCATAAATACTTTGCATGAATCTCTAAATGCTTTGCATGGGCTACAAAATTTAAATACGGGAGCATGTTCCAGGCAACGCTAAGCACTTGTAAGTCCCATTTCTCCGGTACAGGAGAAAGCTTGGGAAAAGAGCAATGGTTAGTGGTGGACTCTGTGAAAAGTATGCAGAAGGTCTCAAGTTCAAAACTTGCTATCTCCAGTGTAGACAATTCAGCTCTAGATGAACCAGTGGTCTGACCCAGTCCAACATGAATGTACATGAACAGTTGGGCATGGGCTCATGCTACACTGGCCACTTGTTTCATGACCATATGAAGAATTGTAGAGTTGGAAGAGACCCAGAGGAACAACCTCCTGCAATGCAGCTGTCACATACAGGGATCGAACCTGCAATTGTGGCGTTATCAGCACCACGCTCTAACCAGCTGAGCTATCCTACACACATACTGATCTATATGCAAAGTATTTCTCCATGCTGGGGGGTATTCTGGCTGGACCAGGATTCCCCTTGACATGGAGGAGCCTGAATATGCGGCTCGCATGGCATGTGGTCAATATGTGCTTCAGTGGGTGTTGGTTGGCCTACAACCCCCTCATGTGTGAATCATGCAGTATAAAGCCATGTGTTTAACCTTTTTCATCCAAATCAGCAGAATTTTAAAGCTTTGGCCAGAGACTATGCCCAAGTTCTGTAATTTCAAAGGCAAGGTTTGATTTAATCCTCTGTTCACCTTAATTGTTGTGTCCAGTTATTGGAGCATCCCAGTATTCCTTCACCATGAGATGAATGAACTTTTCACCACCATTGACAGCCATGATCTTGGCCTGGAGAAATTTCCTCCTCTTTGTAAATCAAACAACGTATCATATGTAGGCCATGAAAGAAGGCAAAGATGACTGGGGGGGTGGAGTGGCGAGAAGCATATCCCGTCACAGCGAATCAGTCTGCGGACACATTAACACCATTTGCAGATGACCCCTTCTTTTTCAGGTCAGGCTTCCGGGAACAATGACTCAAGCCTTCATGGTAAAATGGCAATTTTGTGTGTGTGTGTGTGTGTGCGCGCGCACACACGTGCATGTGTGTGTGTTGTGTGTGTGTTCCTTAGGAAAGCAGAGTGCATCTAAATCATTTTCACCCATTGAAAGGATTGGGCCAAAATACATTCATAATAAAATTAAGCGGGTCTTTTTGCTTGGTCCTATTTGGCCATCCAAATCTATGCTGATGTCAAAGCTATCAGAAGCAACAATTTCCTATCAGTCGCTTAATTAATTTAGTCCATTTGGGAGCAATAGATGACAAGGCTCTGTTCGCTCCCCTCTCTCCCACCTCCCCCATACTTCTGGGAGAAACCTTCATTGATTTGTTTTTTTTGGTATAGTGCTGACACAAGTGGAAGTAATTCAAATGAATGGCTGATAAACTTGCACTTTGGGTCAAGATGCTTTAAAAGAGTTCAAGCTATAATCAGCATTCATCCACTCAAACTTAACAACTCCCACTTGTATTAACAACAAGCAAACTGGAGAGCTTCTCCTCCCGACTTTTGGTTGGCAAATTTCAACATCAGATGCCATTGGCTGCCCCACCTCCACCCCAGTGTGCCAATCATGGTTCAGATAAGGATGGCTGTGCACATATAGCACACTCCTCAGTTACCTTGCTCAAAATTAGGCATAGGCTTGGTTTATGCATAATGCCAATCTCATACCCTCCAACATTTCTCCAGTGAAAACAGGGACGTCCCATTGCATAATGATAATGTTACTATTTATACCCCACACCTCTTACTGGGTTGCCCCAGCCACTCTGGGCAGCTTCCAACATATATAATAACATAATAAAACATTAAACTTCCCTATAGAGCCAGTGTGGTGTAGTGGTTAAGAACTGTGGACTCGTAATCTGGTGAACTCGGTTTGCTTCCCCGCTCCTCCACATGCAGCTGCTGGGTGACCTTGGGCTAGTCACACTTCTCTGAAGTCTCTCAGCACACAGAGTGTTTGTTGTGGGGGAGGAAGGGAAAAGGAGAATTTTAGCCACTTTGAGACTCCTCAGGGTAAGTGATAAAGCAGGATATCAAATCCAAACTCTTCTTCTTCTATACAGGATTGCCTTCAGATGGCTCAGGGGTCGGATAACTCCATACCCTCCAACATTTCTTCAATGAAAATAGGGACGTCCTAAGGAAAAGTTGGATGTTCTGGGATCAAATCAGAAACTGGGACGGCTTCTCTAAATCAGGGACGTCCCTAGAAAATAGGGGCACTTGGAGGGTTTGCAATCTATGGTTTGTTTAAGTCATGTCTGGTTTAACAAACCATGACTTTAAGCACAAGTTGTTGCCCAGATAATTAAAAAACCCCATACTGCCACTGGTCTGCGGTGGTACCGGCTGGCAGGGCACATAAGAGACCGAGTCCCAATCTGCTGAAGGTGGCACAAGGTGGGGGGAGGGCAGACCTCAGGGTCCTATTTAAGGGGCAGCCACCTCCCCTGTTTGCCCCTTCTCCAGTGGCAGCACCCACCCTCCTTCCCTATCTCCCAGTGTGAAATGCAGAGGGCTGAGTAGCAATTTCAAGCTATCTGCATTTTGGATCATGGACTGGGGTTTTTGCTTACTTAACACTGACTAGTGGGGTGTTTGGGGGGGTGATGATCTGCCGTGTTGTTAATCTGGCTCAGTTTGGTCAGTTTGGCAGTTCAGGTGGAAGAAGGACCACAGCCTGGTGATGCTCTTTGGGTACCTTTTAAGGTGACAGGCTGGCCTAAGGTTCACTCTCTAAACTCTGGGGTACAGGGATGGGATAGGGGTCACCTCTGAGACCAAGCTGACTCATCCACTTGGAGCTATGGGGTCCCAGAGGTGGTGACACAGTAATGCTTTTCTTCTCACTTCCATGTTGTGGCCAAGGAAGGGGAATAGGTGACGCAGTTGTGCCTCTATTTTCCATAAACACAGGTGTGTTGTCCACAGCTATCCCACTCTTGTTCACTGCATGAAAGTGGCCCAGTTGAAGCCCAGCTTGCATGTCTATCTCTCTATTCATCAGGATGCAAACCAGGGTGAGTTCCTCCAAAATTTGGGTGGTTTTCCAGCTGCTCTTCCATTACACCTTTGTAGCTTGGTGGGGTGGCAAACAAACCATGGTTAAGGAAGGGTGGAGGGGTTTCATGCATAACTCCAAGCCATAGTTAAAAGAAACCAAGTACCATAAGTCAACAGCAAATCCTAGCTTGAGATCATGGTTTGGGGCAGTAAGCACATCACAGTTAAGCTCCTGGACAGGGTTCAGCGCATAATGCTAAACTGTGGCTTAGTGTGATTTTAAAATAAAGAAAATAAATAAGTTTCTACACATTGTGGCTAGAGAAAAAAACCTGATTTCAAAATGTTATTTTCTAAACTGAAACAGAACTGCTAACATCACTGAACTATTAAATTCTGAATGTTCATTAAAATATGTTTTGGAATGACTGCAGACATGAATATCGCTTGGAAATAATTGGTTTTGAGTTTTAAAAAATCTCAGCTTATTGAATTATGAAGACAATGTGTGAACAATGGTATTTTCCTTAGTATGTCATTTTTGTTCTGAAATATTTTTGGGAATGCATTATGAAAAAAATATAAATAGAAGCATTCTTAAACAAAAGTCTAGCTTGATCCAAACTGTTGCAGCAAATGCTGTTTTAAAAAGAAAAGTATTGTACTGCCTTCTAATGATATTAATGCATTGTCCTCATATTTTGGAAAAAGATTCCAAGATACAGGAGCCACCGCACAGGAAACCCTAATATGGGACCTTCTTCAATTCACAGAGCAAACTGAGTATGTTGAATTAGAAGCAGAGAAAGGAGCTCTGCTTCTAGTTTTATTTCCCTGGGTCATCCTGGATAAAACAATGGCCTCAGCCTAGCTAGGTATCAAATTTAGTTATCTAAGCTTGGTTAGAAAAAGAAGACATTATACTGGTTTTATCTATGTTTTATTGATAATTATTTCGGTTTTATAATTATTTTTGGATTTTTAGCTGTGTTTGCTCAATTAACTTTGTTATGTACACTGCTTAGAGCTTTGGGATTCAGTGATCTACATGTGTTTCAAAATAAAATGAAAAAGCACATCCATAAAGGAGGGTGTGTGCCTCTACTTTTCGTCTGGGGCCTGGGGCTTGCAAGGGAAGCGATAGCCTACTGCCTTTGGTAAGATCATGTCTTAGTAAGCAATTACTATATATGTGAAGTGCTTTGAAGCCTCTCAGAGATGCTCTGTGCATATTAATGGGCCACGTTTTTAACAAATTCTTTAATCAGTCAACGGCCTTAATAATCAAGGATGGTTGGTACTACTTTATGCATAGCAATAAACACACAACAATCAATACTCTGAAATTTGGAGAGAGAATTTGGGGTCTCTCTGAGTTAAACCAGTTCAGTTTGGAATCATGAAAGATGACTGTGTGGTCTGAGTGCTTTACTCTGGAGTCAGCATGAGGCATCCATCGTCTGGTTATTATTCTGAGGTTTGGAGATCATCTAAATGCAATCAGTCCCTTTGAAGGTATCTGCAATCAGGGTGAAGGATGAATGAGTCACTTCAGATAAAACAACAAGCGCAGCTCTTCAACTTTTGCCCATTCATGTTATCTTCCTCTAACTGGTCATCTTTAGCAAACCAGAAATATTCCAGTTATTCCCCTCTGGGGAGGACACAACAAATACAGTTTCTGTAGAAGCAGAAGCTGGGTGCCAGAAGACAAACCAGAGCTGGTTGCTGTTGTTTTTTTAAAGCGATATAATCTTAATGAGGAAAGTGATGGAGATGTTATGTACAAGCTGTTAAAAGGGGGGAAAGTTTCTGAAAATCTGTGTAACCAATATTCTGCAGTAGGAAACAACAGTCTCAGGGATGAATGAATCAGACAGATTTAACAAGCATGTATATTGCTCGTTTGCTTATTAATTATAGGAATGTATATCCCATCTTTTAAAGAAATCCCTGGGGCCATTTATAGTACAAAAGCAAAGTTACAGCAAAACATTTACAGTTGCTGAAAAGGTAAAGGTAAAGGACCCCTGACAGTTAATTCCAGTTGCGAACAACTCTGGGGTTGCAGCGCTCATCTCGCTTTGCTGGCCGAGGGAGCCGACGTTTGTCCGCAGACAGTTTTTCCAGGTCATGTGGCCAGCATGACTAAGCCGCTTCTGGCAAAACCAGAGCAGCGCACGGAAACGCCGTTTACCTTCCCGCCAGAGCGATACCTATTTATCTACTTGCTCTTTGATGTGCTTTTGAACTGCTAGGTTGGCAGGAGCTAGGACCAAACAATGGGAGCTCACCCCCTTGCAGGGATTCAAACCACCGACCTGCTGATTGGCAAGCCCAAGGCTCAGTGGTTTACACCACAGCGCCACCCACGTCCTGGTGT